TGACGGCAAGAGATCTTGCTGTGCAAGCAACCTGTGTTCACACCAACTGTGTTTCATAGCGTGAACACGAAAGGGACAAAACAGTACATTGGCATCCGTAAAAACAACAGCTGGTCGAATGAAGATCTCGAACATGCGTGTGCTAAGACGAAAGTGATTGAGTTGGCAATGGTTAAGCAACCTTGGTGATGTATTTTTAGTTTCTGATGGTAGTAATAAAGCTTATCGTTGTAAAATATATCACCAGGTTTCCTCATTTACAAGCATTAGCTTTTATGTGTAAATGTCATATGATAGCTGATGGGTGAATTTGGTTCAGTTCATAGTAAACGTCATGGTGTGCAACCGCCCGAATTGTCAGCAGAAATTTAGCCGTGTTTCATCCGGACGCGACTGGGACCTGCAGCGAGCGCGTTGTATGTTGACCAGCCAGCAGGCGCAACGAGTTCATGCTGTTGATGGCCAGACTGCGACATTTCAATGTTCGATTTGAAAAGGTGCACGAGGCCTTCGAACGGGCTATGGCCACTGTTGTTGAGAGATGATGGTCTCATGGGTTAGAGTCGAACATGCCGGCAGCCCTGCACCCAGGATAGGGGGACATCGCATACAAACGTGCACAGAATGCCAGACAGCCGGTCAGGTACAACAAAGTCCATTCATTCTCAATCCTTGATGACAAGCTAACCACCTTGTCGCTGTTTTACATGGCTTTCACACGGTTACTGCGCTCGGCACATACCTCCTCGCAGCAGGTTATGACCCCACACCAGTCGACCTACATCTCGCCCAATGTGTTGTGCGACGAAGGCATATGACGCACATGCTACCAGGGCCGCGTGATGTCAATATGCCTGTGCTACATCCTGGCTTCAAGCGGCGAGCACGTCCGGCGGGACGGAGAGTCGCCGTCGGTTACGTTGGCCAGAGTAACGCCGATGATGTAATGGCGTACGGCCTCCTCGTCAGAGTATCCACACCAGCCAGTACTAACACATCAAACATGCTAAATTCCGAGCGCTACGTACCGCTTGTTGTGTGATGATCACGAGCCCAAGACAACATTGATCGTCTCGCCGTTCTTACCGATCTCTACAGAATGAAATGGATCTCTAAGCAAGCGTCGTTTCGGGAGATTCTTGCCCGCTACGAGGTGATCCTTCAAAAAAAATGCGGGACACCAACAACCAAATGTCCACCAGCATAGCCATCGA